AAAACTCACTGATGTTATTAATTTATTAATCACTTCTGGCGACTATAAGAATAAATTCGCTTTTCTATCTTTCTCTGCCACTTTTTCTTACAGAATTTATTGGAGGAAGCAAAAAATAATTCGCAAGATGAACAGCAAATAAATATAGAAGATAAAAATAACAAAATGGATACAGAAGAAGAGTCAGAAATTCCATATAATAGAAGTAACATAACTGAAACTAACAATAATCAAATTCATATATCAATGATGAATGGCTTTATTGACACAGAAGTTTCATGTAATACTTCAGTTTATGAAGAAACTCTGAATATTACTAATCAATATTCATATAATATTCTTAGTAAAACATTACTAGTAATGGCAATTAAATTGCGACATTCTTTGACATACTCCGCAGCTGAGGATGTATTGAGACTATTAAATATTACAACTGATTCAAATTCCACTTTTTCATCAAAATATTTTTGGAAAAAAATAATAAAAATGTACTCAGATTATTTAACAGTCCATCACATTTGTAACGATCGTAGATGTGGTGCATACATAGGACAAGTACAAAGTAATGATATTAATAACGCCATTATGTTATGTCCTCACTGTCACAAAGAAATTAATGCTAAAACAAATTTAGAAGCGGGGAACATATTTTTGCATCTGTCGTTAAAAAAGCAATTAAAGGATTTTTTTGAATTATTTGGTCAACGTTTATATTCAGAGACTAGAAATAAAATAAATGATTATGCAATAGAAGACATTTATGATGGTGATTGTTACATAAAAGGAAATACAGCTAATATGATAAGTCTAAATTTTAGTGTTGATGGCACTCCAATTTTTGACAGCTCTGCAAGTTCTATTCACCCAGTATTATGTACAATTAATGAATTAGCTCCAACAGAACGAAAAAATCACATAATGCTTACGTGTCTTTGGTTCGGCAATAAAAAAATTAAAATGAATGAGTATCTTACTCCGTTTGTAGAAGAAGCAAACGATTTATATTATAAAGGCTTTAATTACTTTTTTAATGGCAAAAAATATCATAAAAGAGTTCGAATATTAGCTGGTAATTGTGATTCTGTAGAAAGACCACTTCTTCAATATTCCACACAATTTAATGGTGCATATGGTTGTGGGCTTTGTCTCAATCCTGGAGAATCGATTCTTAAAGGCAATGGTCATGTCATGGTATATCTGATAAACAACGAGAATAATGCATTTGGAAAGGGCTTACGTACACATACAGGAACATTACATGATGCACAAAAACAAACAAATGGAATTAAAGATCGGTCAACATTATGCAATATCCCGGAATTCGACATTATTAACAATTTGCCTGCTGAGTGGATGCATTGTGTTGCTTTAGGTGTTTGTAGGCAATTTATTAAAATGTGGTTCGAACCAAGCTCCCATCACGACCATTTTTATTTTGGAAATCAAATTAATCGTATAGATAAAATATTATTATCATATAAACCTTCTCTTGAAGTATCTCGAACTCCACGTAAAATTTCTGATTATAAACATTGGAAAGCACATGAATTTGTAATTTTTTTGTTATTTTATAGTATACCAATTTTTAAAGAATTTTTTCCTAGTAAACTCTTATGTCATTGGTCTTTATTAGTTGATGCTATATCAATTTTATTAAAAACATCGATAATGCGCTCTGAAATTGTTTATGCAGAAAACTGTCTTTTAGAATTTGTAAAAGGTGTTCAAGTTTTATATGGAAAAAAATTCATGTCATTCAACGTACACCTATTGCTACATTTACCTCAAAGTGTTCTTAATTGGGGTCCTCTATGGGCACACAGTGCATTTTGTTATGAAGATTTCAATCAAGAATTAAAAAGTTACGTTAAAAGTTCGAATGGCGTCGCTCTACAAATATGTGACACATTTCGTATTAAATGTGTAATAAATAAATTGCGATTCATATGTGCACCTTGGTTAAATGAAGCTCAAATTAATTTTTTAAATAAAATATTATGTAAAAAAAATATACCACAAATTACTGAAAATGTTATAAATTTCGGAATGTTAGGTTTAGCCACTGTAGTTTCAAAGTTATCACGAGATCATTATTTAGCTTTACAACGGTCAAATGTACTTGTAGAACAAGAAACTGCTGCTAAATATTATCAAAGAATTTTGATAAATAAAGAAATTGTTCACAGCAAAAAATACTCTGAAGTGAAAGTAAAAAAAAGGTGTAGCTATTTTGTTATTTTAAAAACCAATCAAATATTTGAAATTGATACTTTTTTAATTATTGAAATAAAAAATAATATAAAATGCTTTGCTATTGGTCATTATTACGAATCTCAAAAAAAGCCACTAGTACGAAATAGACGATTACATCATCTCATTGTTCTTAAACTAAGAATCAATCATTTAGCCGCTGTAAATATAAATAACATCAAAGAAAAAGTTACGTTAATTAAAAGTAAATTTTTAAATATTATTGTAGCTTGTCTTCATCCTAACCATATTGAATTACTTACGTAATATCACATATGCATAAATTACCGCTCAAGAATTTACATATATAAGCATATATATTTACATATATGTATAAACATATACATATACGTGTTAACTATACGTTACGGTGTTAAGAAGTGTGTTAACTATGATTGCTGCTATTTTTATTTGTAGCTGATTTGGTTTCCTTTGTGTCATTAGTAATATTATTAATGTTACTTTTAGAGTTATATTTATCCGCGACTGTATATATACGAAATAAGTAGGACAAATTTAAACAAATGTAACACATGCAAATAAATATTATTTAAACAAAATGTTTTAGTAGAATATGTCTTATAACATGTATTTTATTACGTGTACGTGCGTGTGCGCGTGCGCGCGCGCATGTGTGTGTGTTATATAACACAAAAATATATGTAATATATGTAATATATTTTAAAATATATATGTTATATATATATTGCGTATATATACATATTTGCGTAATATAATATTTATACATACAAAAATGTATATGTAAGTAAAAATGTATACAAATATATTTTATTTATATTGAAGTTGTATATAATCTATAATAAACATTTTTATATATATCTTATATATTTCAAAATATAATTTATATATATACTTACTACAATAGAATTTATCCATATATATACATATAGTTGTATATAATTATATAGAATATATAATAAAGAACCATATATATATATGGACAAATTCAATTGTAGTAAGTATATATACAAATTATATTTTGAAATATATAAGATATATATAAAAGTGTTTATTAAAGATTATATACAAGTTCAATATAAATAAAATATATTTGTATACATTTTTACTTACATATATATTTTTTGTATGTATAAATATTATATTACGCAA